CATTTGCAGCTGCCCGAAATATCCTTGATTGTTCTGGTTCTGAAATGTTCTCAGAGGATTCAGCCCAAAACCACGGCCTTTAATCTGGCAATCAGATCTGCCGAATTCGACCATTTCGACCTGACCATATCCCTACCATTTTGACCCCTCATATTCCTCTAGATCCTCATGATCCTCTAGAGTTCCGGTCAACTTTTGTGAAGCAAGGCAACGCAAAAGTTCATGCTGCTTTTCTTGGCCTACTGGACACACAGTCGATGGAGTCTGCACCGTTCTTCCGGAACACGATTGTCCACCACCCGAAGTACAAGTACTGGGCTTTCGGATATCTTATGAAAGGGCAACACATTCTGCTTGGATGCCCAGACGGATTCCATACCCTTAAGCGGCTTTCTTTGCAGTTCCAGTCAGGAAGCAAGCTCATCTGCCTCGGCGCTTTCTGGGCGTCTGGCGCAGCTATGGTCGGCGGTGGATTATCTCAGCGGGCGTACGAATGTCTTGACCTGCAATCAGACAGAGATGCTGCCTGCAGATTATGCCCTACATGGATGCCACGAGACTCGGCTGCCTCTTCAACACTTTCAAATTGGAGGTGAGCATTTGAGCATTCATGGGTCATGCTGTGCATCAAAACAATTTTGGGTTGGCCAACTGGGCCACTAAAGCAAATCCTGTTTCCTCATGGGAGCGTTTGGGTGGAAGATGTGGAGCTCTTGGGTGGGCTACTAAAGCAAGTCTTGCTTCCGCATGGGGGCTATTGGGTGGGACACTAAAGCAAGTCCTGCTTCCTCATGGAACCTATTGGGTGGGACACTAGAGCAAAATGAGCAAATCCATGGGAACGATTTTGTGGGACTGGGACACTAAAGCAAATCGTGCCTCCTCATGAGGGTAGTGGGTGGGAGATGTGGGACACTTCACGTTGCCGAAATGTCTTTATCGCCATCGCTTCCCAAAGCGACAGCCAAGGAGTTTGGTGTTTGATGGGCATGCAGATTGCAGCTTTCCTAAGCGCCTTGATGTGCAGCGTCAGCACAGCCAGCCTTGGCTTCGACAAGGCTGAGCATGCGCTCAACGCATTTGCTCTTTACACTCTCTTGCAGCTGCACATCCTCGGCAACCAACGTCGCTTTGGGAAGCGATGGCGCCTGCATAGCATCGCACAAACAACTGTTCGCAATGCTGCCGCCGTCGCAGCGGCAGCGACAACAGCTTGTTTGACAACGGTGGAACCGTTGGGATTGCAGGAGCTGTGCCTGGAAAAACATTTCGGCAATGTCAAAGTGCAGTTCACTGGAGCTCCTACAATCCGCGATGCAATCTTAGGCACAGCTGCTGTTCATAGCAAGCAAGCTTGCACGCTCAAAAACCATCCCGACATCCCTGTTATGCAGACGGTTCGATGCCGAGAGGCCTTGAGTGAGCCTGCGTCTTGGCATAAAGGAGCGATTTACGTGATCAAATGATGCAGATGTTGCACTGTTGGTATCATTGTTCTCTTTAAGGGTTCAGGGATTTCAGGGTTTAGGGTTTAGGGCCTAGGGTTTAGGCTTTAGTGTTTAGGGTTTAGGCCTTAGGGCTTAGATGGCTTAGGGTTTAGAGTTTAGGGTGAGGGTTTAGGGTTGAGGGACATGTTCTCCCATGTTTGCCATGTTCTCCCATATGAGTTTCTTGGGAGTTGCGTCAGCAAATGCAACCTCGAAGGCAAAGGTGTTTGCAGGTCTTTGATGTCTTTGCAAGGTGACAGCAATGAAAATATGATAGTCCATATAGTCCATCCCTGCATTCCCTGTATTCCCTGTGTGCGATTTCTTCAGGCGCTTAATGCATCTTCAGCCACCAAACGCCCTCTCAGGCCTCTCATCCCCGATATCCCCGTCAGCGACCAAGGACATGGAAAAGTTGTCAGCCAAGGCCACCGCTGCTGCCATTCAGTTTCACTGCTGGATCAGTGGCGAGACTGTGGAAACTGCAGCAAATGGTCTGATGTCCTGGTGGCGAACTGATGGGCCGAGCTACTTCCGCTCCACGGCCACGCACGAAGTCGAGTCCGATATGTTCGACTTGGACACCAACATGTTCGAGATTCCCGAAGAAGCCGGTGAGGCAAGCGCCTCTCGTTAGAAGCCTACGCAAGGTGAAGGTGGTGAAGGTTTTTGTTCCATTTGCTATGTGTGGACTAAGGGTTGGGAATGTCAGGATTGCGCATAAGGTGCATAAGACACATGATACGCATGTGGCACAGAGAGGTATGGAGATACATGAGATACTAAATATACTAAGCCATATGGTTCATATGCTTTCATGTGCTACTGAAGCATGGGGCCCTGAGTGTAGGATGATGCCGAAAAGAAACATCCTGATGATGAAGAGCAGGCTCTTCAAAAATTACAGCAACTGCAGAAGCGTGCGCTTTGCAGCGTGCATCTCCAGGAGGCGCGAGCACTTCTGGAATCCGGGGGTTCCAAGGAAGATGCAATGAAAGCTGCCGCATCTCCAATGCCTTGTGCCAGTGCCCTTTCACATGATCTGCCCGCTGAGGAAAGAGATCAGGTTGCTGAGCAGCGCATGTTCCCTCCGGACCCTGAGGAAACCAGTTCGAACACTCCTGTTCCCACCAACCTCCTCGATGTGATGCTGCAAGCACTACCGGAGCTGCGCAAGAAGGGTGTCTCGGTGGTACCAGCTGATGCCGGTCCCACGGCCGGCCTGGCACGCATTCAGGCACTGCTGAACCCCATGAGAAGCTTTACTCGGTTGGTTCGTTTGGAGGAAGGCCTTCTCTCGGCAACAAAGCTTGAAGGCGCTTCGCCTGATTTGAATCCCTGGAATCAGCGCCAACATCAGCTTGGATGCATTCGCCGAACGCTGAACCTATCCAACCAGAAGCTCTCCAGATGCCAAGCTTGGGCAGGCGTACAGACCAAGATTTGCAATGATTTAACCAAAAAGAACAAGTCGGTCACATCAAGAGATGCTGGCGTGATAGATGTCAAGAGCTTCTGGCCGATGACTGATTCAAGCAAGCCACAAATCTTGATTTGCCGCGAGGACCAAGCTTCCGATGTTGTTTTGGTCGCTGTGCTCGCAGTGTTTCGGGGCAGTGTTGTCAAGAACCGCAAGGCAGATGGCACATACAGCACGACTGTTAAGACCGCAAAGCCGTTATCGAAGGAGGTTCCGAAGACATGTGCTCGTATGTTGCACGGTTCTTTGGCTGTACTCTGGAAAATGATGAAAATGTTGCATATGTTGCTTAGGAATGTGTTGATTAATTTTAGTTTTTTCTGGGTGTAGGTAATAATACCTAGTAAAGCATATAAGGCTATCGAGTTTTTTGGCGGTTTCATCGGTTTCCACGTTTTCCAAAATTTATATTGCCGCATATGCATACGTGCCGCAAGGTGCCTTGCTAACGTTCGACGACCGAGCTCAGCACTACATCACCTCCGGCACCCACCAGCCCATGCTAATCGATCCCTGTCAGGTGCTTGGTGAGCCGTGTTTGGAGCAGATTCAACCGTCTGCGACTCGACTCCATGTGTGGCTCAGCACTGCAGCAAAGGAAGCACTGCGGCTTTTGCAAGGAGGAGCGGTGTCCATCCCTGCTCCACCTGCATCAGATGCTTCAGCCCCTCCAAAGTCCAGCTGAGATATCTGAGATTTCTGAGATGCCTGAGCTTATTTCGCTTCGGGGTTCGGTGTTTAGGATATTTTAGGGTTTTTGGATTTTAGGGTTTAGACGGTATTTTAGGGTTCGCGCTTCTAATTTCGAAGTTGTAGTAGATACCTATTGGACAGTGAGAATAGTCAAAATCGTCAGACTCCCAGTGTCACCGCTTTTTCAGTCTCACCTGGGGTTGCTGGGAACACCTGCGTTTCGAATCAACTACTCCCTCATCTCCAGCTACTCCAATTTCCACCTACCTATTATTCTGTACAAACACTGCAGTGATATAGTTGACAGATGCAGGTGGAGGGGAACATGGGGAATCCCGTGCGTGATGTGAGTGTCACGGCAAAAGCATCAAACTCCGACGTTCGTTTCCCTTCTGAGTTTGTTGGTAAGTTTGGAAGCATTTTGGAGTATGCTTTAATGGTCGATGTGCAAATTGTGCAATGTGTAATATGGTGTGCTCGGCTTATTTCGGTTTGTTGGGTATGTGAGGCATGTGAGGTGATGCTCGGTGCATTATGTGCATTCGGAGGATGACATGGTGCATTCGGTTCTTATCTGTCGTTTCTGGTCTGGACATGTCTCGACCCCGGACCCTCAATCCCAAAGCCTAAACCCCTAAAACTTGAAACCTTGAACCCTAAACCCTAAACCCTCCAGGACAACTGCGCCTCGTGTACGCAGTCCAGGGGATAGCGCCGAGCTGGGAGACATACTCTCGCCGTCATTACTATATGGTGCTAGCGATTTTTCTTGTTGCAACCTTCTGCACTAGCCCCTGGGGTGTGCAAGTAGCAAGTTCAGCGGACTTATTGCCAGAAGCCATGCCAGCCTCGTGCGAGTGTGTGCGTCGAAACCCTCCTAGACCGTAAACCCTCTCGTCTAAATCATGTAAAGCCTAAACCCTTAGACCCTAAACCCTAAACACTGAACCCTGAACCTTAAACCCTAAACCCTAAAAGGCTTAAACCCAAAGTGTAGGTTTTCGTTTTCGGGGTTAGATGGTTAGATGGTTCAGCGGTCCTACGGGCTCTAGGGTCTGGGGTTACCTAAACCCCAAAATCCCGAAGTCAAACTCTGAACTGTAAAGCGCATATAACCCATACGCTGAACCCTCATCTCCAATCCCTGAAACCCTGATCCCTACACCCTAATCCCTAATATCCCAGGACCCTTAACCATCATGACGGTTTAGGGATTTTGGGTTTTTAGGATGATTTAACCTTTTAACCCTCCCCAAATCAGTACTGAATCACCATGCCAAAATAATAGGTGGCTGCCTCCTATTACCCCCCCCCCCACCCCCCCCCCCAGAAGAGGGTAGTCATTCCTCGCTACCGGGCGCGAGCTCTGCCGCAGTTAGGAGCTGGCGAGCTCTGGAAAGTTCGCCCGCCTTCACTTTCGTGCAGGCTTGTTCCCGCTTGCGCTCAGCGAGGGTCTCGGCATCCGCACTCTGCGCGCCCGATTTGCGGAAGCTGGAAGCGGCTCGGCGTACCTCCCCCAAAAACCGCGCCCAGTCACCCTGTTGGAAGGCTTTGGCGCGCGCAAGCAATTCCTGGCGCCCCTGGGCCCCACGCTGCGTCGTGCGAGCGAGGAGCATACGAGGAGCAAGGAGGAACAACTGCGCGCGCGCGAAGCAGGGGTAGCGTCCGCAGTGGGGGGCCTGCTGGTGGAGTCACGTATGCGGCTCAGTGCAGTGACCAACGCCATCCGAATCGGTGGTCGCATGAAAGGCGGTACGTCTTGCAACGTGGGCACGGGACATCGCAATTCCGCCACCAAGTCAACTGCATCAAGCGTGGCCCAGGCTGTTCCGGGAACACTTGCCGAAGCGTGCATGGTGTCCGGAGCCTCGGCATTCGCGGGGCAAACGGGCACTCCACCCTCGCCTTCTTCGCTTGGCGGGGGTGCCGAGTTGTCGCTAAGCGCTTTGCGGCGGCGTGCTCGTCGGCGACCCCGTCGGAGCGGAGGCGAACGCCTTGCTTGGTCCGCTGCTATGGGTGTGGCGCGCGCGTCGTCGGCCAGAGCCCGCACGGCTGCCGCAGCCGCCGCACCAGCATGACGACCCCCCATAAATAGGTGGCAGGGGAGGGGGGTTACCCTGCGCCCCACATATTTGACCCCCCCCCCCCCCCCCTTGCCCCCCCCCTCTCCCCCTTCATTGTCCACACATTCCACCTTCTTTACCATGGGATTTTAGGCATAAGTGCTAATGGGGCATTACGGGCTACAAGGGATATAAGTGATAAGGGTCAGGCGATAAATGCGTTCCATGCATCAAAGATGTTAAAGTGGGAGGGATATGAGGGTACAGATGTTGTTTTACGGTTAGCTCGTTTGTCATGTGTTTGGCATGTATGGCGAGGGGTATGTGATGCATGTGGGGATCGGCTCATTATGCTCATTTGGCTCAGGGGAGTCTGGAATGTCTGGGACTGTGGAATATCTGGGAAAGGGAGTGTAAAGGGTATGAAGGGCATGAAGGGCTTGTTTCCGGTCGGAAAGTTTGGAATACATGCGGTATAAAAACGACGTGTCAGGAAAGGCCTGGATGCGTATTCCAGGGCCCGAAACATGCATCCACACATGTGCCAACCACAACCAGTCCAGCAGCAAGTCCGGTTTACTTTCAAGCCACGGCAACTTGCCCTACAAACTCCCAAAGCATAGGGAAAGGCCTGGATATCCTGGATGCGTGTTCCGAGGCCCCAAAAATGCATCCAGACATGTGCCAGCCAAAACCCGTCCAGCAGCAATGCAGCTTTACTTTCGTGCCAAACCAAATTCTTTTAGAAACCCCCAAGCCCTCAGGAAAGATCTGAGTGCGTGTTCCGGGGGCCGAAACATGCATCCAGGCGCCTGCGAACCGAAATGAATCCGGACAGCAGCAACCCAGGTCTACCTTCCAGCCAAAGCAATTTGCTCTGGAAGCCTTCAAAGCATCGGGAAAGGCCTGGATGCGTGTTCCGAGTCCCGCAAAATGCATCCAGACATGTCTTGGACCAAACCCGTCCACCAACAGCCCAGCTTTACTGTCCAGCCAAAGCATGTTGCCTAAGAAATCCTAAGAAGCCACCACAGCATCGGGAAAGGCCTGGATGCGTGTTCCGGGGCCCGAAGAATGCATCCCGACAGGTGCCAGCCCAAACCCGTGCATCAGCAATCCAGGTTTGCTTAGAAGCCCCCAACGCCTCAGGAAAGGCTTGGATCGATGGCTTCGATGCGTGTTCCAGGGCCCGAAAAACGCATCCAAACATTTCAGCCCAAACTCGTGAACCAGCAATCCAGCCTTACTTGCGTGCCGAACGACGTGTCAGGAAAGGCCTGGATGCGTATTCGGGGGCCCGAAACATGCATCCACACATGTGCCAACCACAACGCAGACAACACAACGTCAAGACAAGCTAGATGTGTGACTTGCGCTTCCTGCCGGCGGCAGGAAGCACAAGTCCTCCTCACGGAGCACAAGTCCTGCTTCCAAACCCTTTGTTCCTAGAAGTTTAACTGCCGACTTGCGCTCTGTCCTGCTCTACTTGCGCTTCCTGCCGGTGGCAGGAAGCACAAGTCCCACATTGTCAGAGACACACGATGATGATCACCATGCCTAGATAATGTATCCTGGGGGGGGTGGTACTGGGGTAGGCATTCAGAGGGGTCAGGCCGTAATGTATCCTGGGGGGGGTCTTCCAATATCATGCGCGGAGCCTGTTTCCAAGTCTCAGTTTCCGGTGGCTAATTCAATATATATATATATATATACATGTATATATGCGGGAAATCTGAAGCAGTGCGCAGTGTGATGTCATTTTTGTTGTGATTTCACTATCTGCCCTCAGGCATTTTGCCTCGTAGGCGCATGTGGATGCTCGAACATGGATCATGGCACCCCAGCATTTACTTTGGATCTGAAGCCACTATTACGGCATAGGGGGACGGGCAGTTTAGTAAGCCACTATGTCGGCACTGGGTCGTACTATAACTATATTTCTAACTTAAGCCACTATTACGGCGTAGGGGACGGGTTTAGTAAGCCACTATGTCGGCACTGGGTCGTACTATAATTATATCTCTAACTTAAGCCACTATTACGGCGTAGGGGGACGGGTTTAGTAAGCCACTATGTCGGCACTGGGTTTTAGACATGACAGACATAGAAGCACATTGCGAACTTTCCGCATGCCATGGCATTGCAGGCTCCGGACCTACAATGGCAGTCGTCGGGTGTGCACTCCACTCAGTTTCTTTTTGTTCTCCATTCGGGCTGCATGCGGCATTTGTAGGGTTTGGTTACTGACGCCTTCCAGTTTCCTTCCGCTTCATTGACCACGACCGCGGGATTTACTCGGAGTTGTACAAGTCGAAGATCCAGGCAAGGGGGGGATGAGATAGGTAGGCCACCCAACAAACCACTGTCCGTCAAGCCAGGCCGACAAGTGGGCACAAGCAGAGGGATTGCATCCAGCCGGGGCCTTGGATTTCAGTCGGCGGTCGGATGCGGTGGGTATGAAAGCATGTGCCAGGTGCCAGAGAGCATCAAGGAGAGAGCCGCCAGGCATTGGCCGGAGGACGGCAGTGCAACGGAGGAGGAGGTCGGATGGGTTGTGGCTCGCTTGGTTTGTTCCTTGATTTGCCCCGGTGTGTTCCCTGCCAGGCTCCTGACAGTGGCCTTCAGGCAGCTCTGACCTTGGACTTTGGATGGTTTCGCTGAAACGTTCGGACCTTTTGACCACTTGAAGGTTTCTTCTGGTGGCACGCCCCCGGCCATATCCTCAGAGAACATGGTCCTTGGTCCAAGGGTGTTGTGGAGTCTGTTCGCCAGGCTTCTTCATTGGCACCGGCTCCCCCCGAGGTGCGCCCTTGAGGGGTTTACAGGGGTTTAGAGGGGTTTGTGCATGTGAGGTGGTTGGGCCTTGGGCTTGCCACGGGTTGGGGACTTTGGGATATTCGGAATTGGCCTCTGAACTCGAGGAACCCCCCCAACCCTGCATGTGCAAAGCTTCGGAAACTTCAATGATTGCCAGGGGGCTGGGAATGCAGCTGGAGCCGTTGGCGATGATGAGGCCAGCCGTTCGCTTTCCACTGAGTGCTTGTGATACGGACCTGGCTTCTATGCAGGCTACTGGCAGACGGCCTCAGCATCCACTTCCAGAGGCCCGCGAGGGGTTGGAACTCCGGTGGCTTGGGTTTTATTAGTTGTGTCGACTTTGGGTGTGCCTGGTTCTGGAGTTCTCTGAATGCAGATTTAAGCAACCCACCAATCATTTGCCAGGATCCAGATGGTAGCCAGAAGCCGGCGGAAGCTGAGGTGCGCCCGGGGTGAAGGAGTTCGGGGCTTCGTGGTTAGGGTTCCGAAGCTCTGCTGACATGTGCCGACGGTAGTGCTGTGCAGGATCAGTTGATTGTTTCATGTGGAGCAAACCAGGGGAAAGCTTGCTTGACTGTGATTATCGGTTCAATCACATGGCCTATGGATCCTTGGAGACATTGGGGCCCTAGGTCAAGCATTGACATGGTCCAAGCAGGTGAAGCATTGCTGTAAACAGTGAACACACGGCTTATCCTAGATTCCTCTAGTGATTTGACCCTGCCGATCTGATCCTGTGATCGCCTGGAGTGATTCAGTGCTTGCTCCTTTGCTGTAGTCGATATCCGCCCTGGCATTTCCCTCTGGGGTGCACTTTGAACCTTTGGCCTTAACAGATCTGGATGGCTCCGAAGGCTATGAAGGCCATGAAGCCAACGAAGACGATGAAGGTCATGAAGAAGCCCGCCCAGCGTGCACAGAAGAAGAAAGGCGACGACGAAAAGGAGGAGAGGATAGCCTTGCTGGAGGCACAGGTGCGAGGGCTTTCGGAGAAGCTCGGTGGCATGGATGGCAACCTGAAGTTGGTGAACAGGATCACGTTTTCCATGGCCCGCCGGATCAACAGGCACTTGCCCATCAGCGACGGCTCCGACGATGACAAGGAGGACGATGACAAGAAGCAGGACGACGACAAGAGGCAGGACGATGGCCAGAAGACGTATGACGTCGAGGAGCACAACCGCTTCTTCTTTGGACCGTGGCAGCCTCCCGCTCGCGACGACGATGACAGCGATGACGAGCCCCCCAAGGGCAAAGGCAAGGGCAAAGATGGCAAAGCCGGCAAAGGCAAGGCCTTGGCTTCCAGCTCAGACGAGGATGTGCAGAAGGGCAAGGGCAAAGGCAAGGCGTTGGCTTCGGAAGACTTTGCACCCAGGACGCCTGAGTTTTGAGCGCTATGTCGAGGCGGTTCGCCAATCTGACATCTTCGGAAAGCTTTGCTTTGCACCCAGGATGCCTGAGTTTTGGGCGCTATGTCTCACGGTTCGCCAATCTGACATGAGCAGCACACAGCACGCAGCATAAACATAGCAGCAACACACAGCACGGAGGCGGCACACACACATAGCAGCACAACCGCACAGCAGAACACAGCACAGAGCAACATGCAGACTGGTGTGTCTCACAAACCGAGGGGTGAGGTTCTGATCGGATTGTGCACAGGCACCGGGCTTGTAGCTATAGGGTGGCAGCAGTATAGATATACATCCTAGGCATTGGCCGGGCTGTGGACTTTTGCTGTTCTGTGGTGCACAATCCCTGAGCCGATCGTGCGAGGATGGATCGGAAACGATGGTTGTTCGTGGTTTCACTTGGCTAGGGTTTGGGCTTCCGGGTTTGGTTTGGGCTGTGGAGTTTGGGCTTTAGGGATTGGAGTGTGGCCGAAACCTGGAACCCCAAAGCCCGCACCCTGAACCCTACAACCCCAAACACCAAACCCTGAATCCCAACCCCGCCCGAAACCACAGAAGCCAAAAGCCCGAACCCCGACCGCGCCCGAACCACAAACTTCGAACCCAAACCCCAAACCCGGAACCCCAAAGCCCAAACCTCGACCCCACCCGAACCCACACCCGGCAGGCTGGTGTGGATGCGAGACCATCGACACCGAGCGATGAAGCCCAAGGCCTTAGCCTCTCGGAAGTGTTTCGCTCCTGGTGATCTGCTAGCCTCGGTAGGTAGTTGTGGATGGGAGACGGATGATCCAGCCAAGGCCTTTGCCTCTAAAACGTATGTCACCGTATGTCTGGTATGTTCCTTCTGACCTGCTAGCCCTGGCAGGCTGTCGATGATGGGAGAACATCGATAGTGCATGGCGAAGCCAAGGCCTTGGCCTCTGGGTCGATCGTGTTTCTATCCTAGCCATCGGCTTGCCTCGTGAGGCTGCGGAGCTGTTGGATGCGAGACCAGCAACACGGGACGATGAAGCCAAGGCCATGGCCCCTGGGACATGCTCTGCTCTTGGTGGTCTGCTTGCCTCGGCAGGGAATATCGACACCGCATGGCGAAGCCAAGGCCTTCGCCTCGAAATCCAGGTATGTTCCTTCGGACCTGCTTGCCTTGGCTTGTGTGCTTGCTTCCTCGTACATGCTCAGGTCCCCGATTCCGTGCCCCCACCGTGTCCCGAGATGGCCCGGGCCCTGGACTTTGCGGACTCGCTAGCATGCCTCCGACCGGATGAATTCCTTCCTTAGTGCCCGGCTTGCCCGATGAGGCGCTGGAGCAGCCACTGCCGGTGGTGGTGGCCTCGGCGCATCTTTCCCTCGCCTCCGTTGTTGTGTCCTTTCGGTCTAGGCCCACGATGCTCCTGCACATGAAGCTGCCGGACCGGAGCTGGAGCAGGACCGGCTGGGTTCGTGGTTTACGGGGTGGTCCTTCCAGCCTAGGCGGCGACAGTGTTGCTGTGCAGGATCAGTTTGCGAGTGTGCAATCCATTTGATTTGATCGCAGCCAATCCACTTGATTTGATCGCAGCCTAGTTGAGCTCAAGAGGGCATCCAGCTTTCAGCAGCCTGCGGAGATTGTGACATTTGGCAACATCCGTTCAACCGGAGCTTGAACTGGCATCCAACCCAGCAGCCTGCCTGCAGAGCGACATGTGGCGGCCGGGAAAATTCGCCAGGCGTGTGGTGATTTGGCGGCGGGCCAATAGGATGGCGCTGGTGAGGCGAGTGCTCCTGGTGGCGAACCGCATGCGGAAGATCAAGAAGGACGAAGACAGGAAGAAAGATCATGACAAGACAAAGGACGATGACAGGAAGTCCGATGATGGCCAGCCGAATGCGCATGCGGAGTTCCAGCGCCTTATGATGTCGGCCATGCACTCGTTCTACCAGCAGGGTAGGATAGACGAGGTGCTGCCGTTTAGGTGATCGGTGGCGGAGGGTGACCAGGTAAAAAAAAAGCTTTGCATGCTGATGCTTCACTGCTTTGTGTGGGAATACCTTATGTGGACGGCCATTGATCTCTAGACTTGCTGGCAGGACTCCAGACGAGAGCTCGAGCAGCAAGAGGCCACCAGGGTTTCGGTGCTTAGGGTTAAGGGTTCGGGGGCTTAGGGTTTTGGCTGCTGTGCTGCCAGGACTCTAGACGAGGGCTGGATGAGCCGGTGCCGGAGGCAATGCCGGAGGCCATGATGGTTTGGGTTGCGTGGGGTTCTAGGCTGTGGTCTCGGGGTTTGTTGTGTGCCGGATGGTCTGCTGCCTTATGTGAGGATCCCGCGGGGAGAGTGTTAGGCTGGCTGGTTGCTCTTGCTGTGCCCAGGATAGCTCCGGCTCCGTGTGCGTGGCTGGCGATGCAGCTTCGGTGCTGGGGCCGGGTGCTCAGGATCAGTAGGGTCGCTGACTGCTTGCACTTCTCCTGATCTGAAGATATGTTTGCCGGGGCAGCTTTGGGCTGCAGTGCGTGTTGCAACTAGGGGGGTGACCTTTGACTCTCTCGGCATGGCATCGCCCGCATCGACAGCCGTGGCGGAGTCTACGTCCACTAGCTCTTCGCACTGGGATGATCTTCAGGCCATGAGAGAGCAGTGGCTGGAGTCTTTGCAGACAGCACTGGCAGCTGCGGGATCGCCTACGGCCGTTGAGGTGACATTGGTTCCTGCTGTACTTACAGCAGGTCGCAACTTCGTATCGGCTGCACGTAGGGCGGGCTTTGCTGAGCAGGACGATGAGAGTTCCCAGTGCATCACTCCCGAGCATCCGCCGAGGACGTCGAGGATTCGCTTGACACCCGAGGCTTCGCAATCTTCGCAGAGCTTGACACCCGTGACGCCCGAGCCGAAGAATCGTCGCTCCCCGGTCAATCCTGCGAATCCTGCGATGGTGGCAGACTGGAGCGGTATGCCAACGATGACCCCATCGCCATCGCCAGCCCAGCCCTTGCAGAAGCGTCCACGCTTGAGCCGCTTGGCCGAAGCAGATGGCCCGCCATACTGGGATGCTGCCTCCGCCACCAGAAGCACGAGAAAATCGCCGATCCGCGACAACAGCCACACAAAGCCAAGTGCTCCGTGAACGACTACGAAGGCATGCCGGTGGCTGGACAGCCGAAGTATCCGATGTGCATCCTGCGCCGGACATCATTTTGCATCTAGCCGTTGTGTGTGCCTGGATTGCCTGGTCAGCTTCCAATATCTTCCAATGATTGCAATGCTTCCACCGCTGGGGTTCGGGCTTCATGAAAAAGAAAAGCAAGGTTGCTTCCTTCCTGCCAAACCTTGATTGCAGCCTTAGCTGGCGGTACACACTCCTGCTGTTTGCTACTAAGGTCCATGCCGTTGCCGGCACCTCTGACACCTCCTGCCGATGACAAGCAGGACTCCCAACACCTGCTCTTTCCAGCCTTGCTGACTCTTCTGGCTCACCCGTTAGTGCTGGAACAGCAGGAGTTCATGATGGAGGACATGCCCAAGCAGCCGGACTGTCTTGCTGGCCTCCCACCTGCCGTGCGATGCTGCATCCAGATGCCGCACACGAAGGTCCAGCTTGCTGCCTCTGGCTTCTATGGGTTTCTTCGCATGTCTAGAAGACACGATGTAGCAGCAGGGTTTCGGCATATTCTGCCCTTCTTGGATGGTACTCGGGTGCAGCAGCATTTGACATGTGCTTAGGTTGCCTTGGAAGCAGCAACGTGCTGCGTGGACCGCCACGATGGCAGAGCTCAGTGCCGTGCATGCGCATGGGGATCCTGGTAGCTTTCGGGACTTATCGCAGCCGGAGATGCAGAAGCTCGTGGCTGATGATGTGGAGCTGTTTCTGCTCACAAGTCCTTTTGCAAGCCTCGTGAACCACTGCTGGCAGCAAGACTGGTCTTCCATGCAGGCCACACGGTAGTTTCCCTGGGGCTTCCCGGACCCGATAATGTATCCTCAGACCCCGGGACCGGGTTCAGGGGTGCCTGGATACATTACGGCTCCCGGTGGTTCCCGGGCAATGTCGTGTGTCACCCACAAACCGTAGTCCATCCTAACATACCATAATCCAAAACATTCATCACCAACGACTTCTAGCCTGGGGCAGGGTTTTCTGGGGGCTTCCCGGACCCAGTAATGTATCCTCGTACCCCGGGACCGGGTTCAGGGGTGCCTGGATACATTAAGGTTCTCGGTAGCTCCTGGGCAATGTTGTGTGTCACCCACAAACTGTAGTCCATCCTAATATACCATAATCCAACGCATTCATCACCAACGACTCCTAGCTTGGGGCAGGGTTTGCTGGGGGCTTCCCGGACCCGGTAATGTATCCTCAGACCCCGGGACCGGGTTCAGGGGTGCCTGGATACATTAAGGCTGTCGGTGGCTCCCGGGCAATGTCGTGTGTCACCCCAGAAACCGAAACCCCGACAATCCAGAACCTTTGCAACCAACGACTCCTAGCCTGGGGCAGGGTTTGCTGGGGACTCCCCGGACCCGGTAATGTATCCTCGGACCCCTGGACCGGGTGCAGGGGTGCCTGGATACATTAATGTGTCCGGTAGTTTCTAGGAAAGAACCGATCCGTGACAGGCTGAGCTGCCGCTGTACGCCTGCTTTGACATCAACCAGGCCGATCCCTCCATTGGCCCAAACTCCAGCGTATCCTGCACTGTGAACTGTCTGCTCTTCTGCTCTGCCTGGTACAAGCATCCGAATCCAGACTTCATATGTCGTTGGCTGGAACAGCCGTGGGACGAAGCGCCGGTGCTGCGGTCCCTGCTGAAAGAAGGTGCTGCTCTCATGTCTGAATACCTTGCAGTCGTCCGTGAGCGACAACAGGCAGAGTTGAACATTGAGCTTGACATGTACACTTGCCCGAGGAAGTGCAGCATGAGGTGCTGCACGGGCATTTGCGGGACAGCCCTCGATGGAACTGCCTCCGGCCCTTTCTGACAGATCAGATGCGACGTTCTCTCACATAGCATGCGGTGTGAAGCTGCAAGAGGCGACAGAGTTGGCACTCGGCCACAGGCTGTCCCTCACACGACTGCAGTCAGCCGCCTACTTTTTCGTCTGCAACCACAAGTCCTTCGTGGTCGTGGGCTGTGGTCATCAGAGCTCTGGTTGTGCCTTGCTTCTCTTTGACAGCCACGGCCTGAGTCTGCAGGCCACGGAATGCTCGGGCTCGGCGTTGTGCCGTGATGCTGAACAAGTTCTCGAGTACCTTTGTCGGCATGGCGAGCACTCCCTGTATGGCCCAAACCAGGTGACCCAGCTCTATGCCTCTGTCTTCGAAGGCACGGCAACGTCGTGCCAAGCCTGCCGTGCCCCAGCATCAGAACTTCTGCGAAGTGTGCGAAGCATGACATCCCGGCCGGGAGACGGTGCAGGCTTATCTGTGAAGCCAGAGGCAGCGCCTACATTCGGCATGCCTTTGTCCAGCTGCTTCCCCGAGAGCCTGATCGTCCTGGAGCCTCCCTCGGAGAGCCCTGTAGGCACCCCGCCCAGGAAGGTGCCTCGTGTTGCCGGCTCAGAGACCACTCATGCTGCTTCAGAGGCGCTCGTGAAGAAGGAGGCTGCTGACAGCAACATGGACATTGACCCACCTGAGTTTCAGGAGGCAGCGACGGAGGACGTGAAGATGGAGGTGAAGACCGAGCCGGCTTGCGATGGCGATGCCGATGAAGAGGTGCCCCTGACTGCTTTGGTTGGGCAGCCTCCTGCAAAGCTGAGCGGTGCTCAGGCGAGCAAGAAACCCACCAAGGAGGAGAAGCTCCTGCTGAAGAAAGCTGATGCCATGCTGGCAGCCTATGGTACTGGTTTCCCAGCTTGGTTCAAGGTCCACTCCTTTCACGGGGTCAAGGGCCACTGGAACCAGTTCAAGCTCAAGCTGGCAGCGGACTCCATTGGTTCGCTGGGTTGCAGGTCGTGCTCTACCTTCTTCCGTTCCCTGGATGCCAGCAAGGTCCAGCAGCAACAGCAGCTGGTGGTGCCCAGCGAGGGCGATGAGGTCCCGGCTGGCGAGGTGGTGCTCCTGGATCCCGCCGCTCTGAAACCACAACAGCCTCGGAGCAAGATCACCGGTGCTGAGCGCCTGGAGGTGCTCAAGAGGGAGGAGGGCGTGGGCCCCCGAAAGGCCCCTCGGGGAACTGTCGTATCATGTCTAGTCTGCACAGGGGTCGCCTTGGCTTGGTTCTGCTTGTAGGATGCATGCTCATGACTCAGACTGCCCTCTTCCCCTCAAGGACGGCGATCAAAGACGTCGGTGCTTCCTCTCTGGATGCGTTTGTGGGATTGGGTCAAAGATAGGAGGAGCGACGTGTACATCCACACCCATGCTCTCAAGTTTCATTGCACCCTCTGCGAGGTTGAAGTCGACGCAAAGCGAGACTCCACTATCCATTTCCTGCTGCAGCATGAATGCTACGACATGCATTGGACCCGGGCCCACCCGGATGAGATACCGAGGCAGTGCCGAGGTGTGAAGATCATCCCACGATCCGAGTCCAGCCAGGAGTATCACATCGAGACGTGCACCCGTTCGCTGCAAGTCTGGATGGGCCTGGACTTTCCCTGGTCTGGCCAGCAGTCCCTCCCGCATGGCTGCTACATGGAGACTGTGGACTCCGAGGTCATCTGCTGGGTGCGATGCCGGCCCTGTCAAACGAGCCCTGCCGTGCTGCAGCCGGGCGAGGATGCTTGTGTGAACTGCCGAAAGCTCGCAAACAAGGAGGCCTTCGCATCCAAAGTAGCTTCATGGGTTTACCTAGTGGACTTGCTGTGTCTTCTGCATGCAACATATGCTGCGGTTCGGAAGGAAAGGAGGGAGGCACTCCAGGCCCTCGGCAGTGCAGACTATCGTCGCGTCCTGAGTTGCCACTCGGTGGCCCAGCTGGAAACCATGACGTGGCCGGAGCTGCACCAAGTGGTGCGACAGCAGGCCCCAGTGACGACACCGGCAGCCTTTCAGAACTCTGCGGCGCTGAACCTCCTCAGAACCAGGTTTCAGTGGCTCCCGACCACTGTCAACAAAGATGCCATCAACAAGCTGGACCGTCAGCACTTGCAAAAACATCTCGAGTTCCTAGTCGGGCAAGAGACCGAGGCCGGGTTCACGTGCATGCTCTCCGAAGAGTTGCGGCAGGGCAGGCTCGACAGCATGGAGTGCTGCCGAGTCCTCATGAGTTGCTTAGCAACGCGACTCAGGCTGCTGTCGGCGAACCAGAAGCGGCTGACAACAAGCCACGTCCAAGGCGTCACGGACGCCCAGCTCCAGGACGTCGGCTTCTTTTTGGCAAGCATCAGCAGCACCAGTCAGTTGATGGAGCTCTTCGGTCTGAATCCTCGCGAGTTGAACAAGCCGCCATCGTTCGACGAAGCCTTGCCGGATTTTTTCTGTGCCTCCGCCGAAGAGCCGGAGCAAGCAGGCACGAGGTCGACCCTGTTCCGCAACCTGCAGACGACGATCGGGATCCTGGGTGTGGCCCAGTCGCGGTCCTGGGTCTTGTCCTTCGACGAGACTGTGACGTGGCCGGCCTACGGCATCTACAACAGTCGCAGCCACGGGCGCTGCTATGTACAGTAGGTGGCGGGGATGAGATGTCCATGCTGCCATGCTCCGATCACTATGCAAGCGACTTGAAGAAGGAAAACCTGGCCCAGTGTGTCTTTGCAGTTCTAGTGACTCTCAGCTCATCGCCTAGAATCAAGCTTGCCTAGGTGTGCGATTGTCTAGTGGAGTTCTTTCTTTATGCAGTCATCTGTATTCGGATCCCAGGAAGCGGGTGGAGACCTTCCGCCACCCGTACTGCGTCCTTCTCCAGCCGAGACGCCTCAAGGCCATCACGAGCCAGAGCAATCTCTGCAAGATCGGCAAACTGTGGGAGCTGGCTGCCGAGTGTAACGGTGGCATTCCGCCACTTGCGAGCAGCCATGACAACGCCACGACGCAGGTGGTGTTCAGCGAGGTGATGCTCGGCCTGGTTCCGCTGGAGCGTTTGGCGGATGTTCCGCCTCCCGACTGCTGATTCCTAGATAATCCACGAAGGTTTTAGCGACGTCCTGCAACATAACCCCCCTTTGTGTCATCCATAGAACCTAAGGTTCTTCAAAGAGTGCAACCGCACGCGGAAGCTGCCCATCATGATGTACCCCTTCCGCTCATTAGAGTTCAACGGGCACATAATCTTGAACCAAAATGATGCGGCACACTGCCAAAAAAACATGGTATCGGCCACTCGGGGCCGCAAACGCTGCTTCACCATCTGCGGCCTTTGGATGACCCGCAGCGTTCAGCTGCTCCCGACGATGCAGATGCCGTTGCACGCTTACATCGGGCACGACCTTCAGAGCGACAGAGAGGCCGCATGGGCGCTAGCTCCGAGATGCCTAGATATGGATGCCTGGGACAGTGTCGCCGTGACACTCTTTCAGCATCTTGGCCTAGTACTTGTCCTTCTAAGCGCGATCACAGCCATGCGTAAGCAACGGAATCCAAGGTACCTCGTCTCTTGCGTGAGCGGCAACTGGCTCTCTGCCGTCTTCACCCCGCCTCAGCTCTTGGAGAACGGGCTCACCGGCTTTTTCTGGCTGTTGCTCGAAGTCATGGCAGCACGGCAGGCTGGTGGTAGCAACTGGCAGAACCAGTTCCTGGCCAGGGCAACGGTGCGAAACAGCCTCTTTTGCTGTGCTAACATGATCGAGTGGGTATGCCGATACCCGAACTCCGACGGCAGCTTGGCCTTTGCTCCCACGAAAAACACCGAGCAGGTAGGGTGACTAAACTTGTCAGCCTCTCGCTCTAAGATCTAAGACTCGTCCCTTGTAGCCCCTCCTGTCCTGAGCCTCACCGCACCTCATGAGGTCTCGTTAGCATCCCCTCACCTCACGAGGTCGTGGAGTACTGGTTCGGCCAGGTAAAGAGAGCTGTTGGACACAATGTGCCGTCGCTCAAGGCGTTCGTGCTGGCTGCTGAACGACTTCACTGGTCTCAGAAGCATCGCGGCCTCCAGCTGCCGTCAAAGACTGTTACCTGGAGCGGCCAGAACCTGAGTGCCGGCGAGGCCCTGCCGAGATCAAAGACAAACAAAGCTCAGCTATCCTAGTTGCCCATCTCAAAACCCTCGCAGGTGAGCCAGATCGCGACCCGTGCTCTTCCTGCGGCCACCACTTTGCGGGCCGTCGCGGCCGTGCAGGACTCGCCAGACGCCGTGTCCGCCGCTTTGGAAGCCTGGTTCGAGGAGGAGGGCTCTGCGATGTTCTTCGCAGGGTGCACTCCGGACATGGCGGATAACAATGTGGACCCCTTCGCCGAAGAGGCATCCGAGGAGGAGGACGAGAATGACAAGGTGGCATCTACTCAGGCCGGCAGCATCCAGCACGGCATTCGCATGTTGGAGCGCGAGGCTGTCATCGAGCAGTCTTTGTTGGAGGACATGCAGTCGCCGCCCAAGCCCGAGCAGGCTGCAGCTGCGACAGAGACGACAACGGAGGCTGTGGTTGCAGAGACTTTGGCACCGGCAGAGCCTGCGACCTTGTGGCAGATGCTGGTTGCATGGTCCTTGCTCGCATCGTTAGGTAAAACAAGGAAGTTGGTTATGATTGAGGCCTTAGGTTCGGACACTTCCCTGACAGCAGGTGGCTTCCACACGTACAAGCCCGCTGCGGACGGCACGCCCGAGGCAGCCGTGGAGAGACTTCGCAAGCTGCAGCCTCTGATGGTGGCACTTCTGGAAAAGGTGCGAACCAGCGAGGGCTTCTTGTCTGAGAATGCCGTGCTGGGCGATCGAAATCCTCGGCGCCTCAATGCATTCCAGGATATGCAAGCACAGCTGGCTCAGGCACGTCGTGCTTGGGGCCTCGCCGGGAGGAGGACAAGCAGAGCTGATGCCTGGAGGAGCTACGCTGGACTGGTTGCGGACAAGGTCCAGGAGGTTGCTCCGGAAGCTGCTTCTGTCGTGGATGTCTATCGTCCCAGCTTTATCTTGAGCCAGTCGGCTCGCAACAGCATAGATTGACTGTTTCCTAGTTCCTCCAAAGTAGTGTCTTCAAGCATCCTGAAGCCCAAAGCCCTCCATGCTTGACCGTAAACCCTAAACATCGCGAAAAGTTCCCAGCCTAGGTGACTCTGGGACCCGTGACTATCAATTCATCGTGGTGCGAGAGCATGTGCTTGGCGAGCCTATGGTTTGCCTTGTGGAAGAGGTGTTCCGCCTGTCGATGCGACGGGACAAGAAAGTCCCTGGCAGCAAGCCGTTTCCGGCTGCACTTCCGCAAGACTTCTGTGGAGGAGTGCACGTGCGCGTCATGGAGCCCTTTCAAGAAGGAGTCTTCAAGACGACCCTGCTGCACAAGCGGATGACATTGGAGTGCCACAGCCTCGACTGCTCCGCCCCGCAAATCTTGTATCAGATCCCGGCATCTCAGTGCAGGGCGGGTGCGGACCCTTACAAGCTGGTGCTCAAGCTAACATCGGCAGCCGTGAAAGCTCTGAAGGCTGCTGAGGGCTTGGACTTCAAGATGGAGGCCACGGAGGATGCCCGCGAAGAAGGCATGATCTACACGGCAGACATGTTCGGACCCTCTGCAAAGGGAGCTTTGGCCATCAAAAGCTACATGCGAGAGATGAAGAAGATGTATGAGAAGACGTCTGGACAGCCGCTGGCGGACGCCCAGGGCAGGGTCACGGCGATGCGATCCTCGTCGTTTCCTGTCCCTGGAGTTTGGGATGAGATGGTGCAGCGATGCCCGTTGTACTTCGAGCTTTTGCTTTCCACCAAGGATCTGCATGGAAAATCTGTCGCGGCAAACGCCAAGGATTACAGCATGCGGATTTACAGGATCTTCCAGGAAACACTGCCCACCAAGCTTCGGGGCACTCAGGCTTTTTTGACTTTCCTAAGAAAGCTCAACGACAAAGCTCCGGCAGCGCTGCCGACAGCCTGAAAATCAGGCTTCTTCTTTGACCTTCCTAGGAGGTCGACGACTAGCCTCCGGCAGCGTGACACAGTGGAGAGTCGAGAAAACAAGGCAGGCCGTCTCTGCATTCAGCGAGTGTGCCTGCATTCAGCGAGTGTGCAAGTCGTGCCTGCATTGAGCGAGTGTGCAAGTCGAACACCAGGCCCTCTCCGACCCCCATAGGACGATAACCGGGTGCAGGGGTGGCTGGATACATTAATTTTCCTTGGGGTTACCCAGCAGGTAATGTATCCTGGGGGGGGGTGTGGAAATCATGGTTGGGGATGGTGATCGATGATGTTTCGCAGGGACGCTGTAATGGCTCCGTTTACGGTAGTGACGCTGCAGCATCACAAGCATATCTAACATTAATTTAGAACGCATGAAACATCATGAAACCCCTCCGTCCATGCAAGTCCTGGCCTGAGGCAGCCGGTGCAGCCATGACATCCATGGAGTGTTGAACAAATGACTTGCAGTTATCATATCACGTCACAGACCAGATTTTGTCCAAAGTTGTGCCCATGATGCCCATGTACCCCACCTGTCTACGCTGTGTATGCTGTCTTCCGTATCTTCCGCATCTTCTGTGTACTTCAACGTCTGCATTGTCGGCTAAGCTGACCGTTGGCAAGGTGTGCAACGTATGGCATGCGCAAGGTGTCATACGCAGTATACGCACTCCACATGCCCCAGTCTGTGCATATTTTGCATCACTTGCATCCCAGCATCCTGTACTCATATAAACGATTCTGAGACGTTTTGTTTTTTCCGCTCTTGCATCTCTTGCCCCCCAGAGCCCCCAGCTCAATCCTACATGTCCTAAGTCTACGTCTTCTGGCTGCATATGCTGGATGCGCTTATGCATCAGCCGCTTCTTCAGAGAGGACATACATCCTTGCCCCTCCTGTGAGTCTGCGGTTTAGGGTTGAGGGCTTTGAGGGTTTAGGGTTTCGCGTCGAGGGGTTTAAAGTTTAGGCTTTACGGCTAAGGGTCGGTTTGACGCTCACACTCGGACATACTCGGACAAGGGATACAAGGGTGGGTTTAGGGCTTAGGGTTTAGGCGAGTGTGTGCGTCGAAACCCTCCTAGACCGTAAACCCTCAAGTCTAAATCATGTAAAGCCTAAACCCTAAACCCTGAACCTTAAACCCTAAACCCTAAAGGCCTAAACCCAAAGTGTAGGTTTTCGTTTTCGGGGTTAGATGGTTAGATGGTTCAGCGGTCCTACGGGCTCTAGGATCTGGGGTTACCTAAACCCCAAAATCCCGAAGTCAAACTCTGAACTGTAAAGCGCATATAACCCATACGCTGAACCCTCATCTCCAATCCCTGAAACCCTGATATCCCTAGACCCTTAACCATCATGACGGTTTAGGGATTTTGGGTTTTTAGGATGATGTAACCTTTTAACCCTCCCCAAATCAGTACTGAATCACCATGCCAAAATAATAGGTGGCTGCCTCCTATTACCCCCCCCCCCCCCCCCCCCCCCAGCAGAGGGTAGTCATCACCAGCGTAAGACTCGAGCAACGCTGATTGTATTGCCGCTGTCAGGTAGCTGTCCGGGCCCATGCGAACCAGCATGGCCGCTTGCAGCGGCATGGGCGCATCGGGCAACCGGGCCAGCGCCGCTGCCGTAGCCTCATCCTCCGCGCATATGCTCCGCCGGGCATCGTGCTTCAGCCAACCCCATCACCCTTTTGTCCTTCGTTATGTTGGGTGCATCCGTCAAAAACATAGTTTGAGGCAGCCATAGAAGTTCCAGGGGAGCAACATCATCAGACTGACATTTGATACCAAAGCCTGCTGGAGCTGCCGGTCCAGCCATGCGACGCCAGCCAGACGCCGGCGACGGCGCAGAGCTGACGCTCGGCGAGCTCCTGGCGGCGCCGCCGTAGTGCCGTTGTGCTGACCCAGCTGCGGACGGAAAAAGGAATGTGAAAAAAAAAACCGTTCTTACCCGAAGCACAGAGAACGTCATCAATGAAATCCTGATGGCAGTAGAATGCAAAGGACCCGTTCATCCTGCTCTGGAGTTGATCAACCGCTAAATCGGGGATGAGCTGCTCCAGAGGCTGGGCCCTTCGCTGCCCGAGCCTTGAATGTCCTCTCACCCGCGACGAGATCTCCATACCTAGCGCGCAATTCCGGGTCCTGCTACTGCGCCGCCTGCGGCTTCCCCTCCCCCTCGCTCCGCGCCGCTGATGCGCTCGGCGACCACCGCTCAGCCATCTCAGCCTGCGCTACCTCGGGCGTCCTCGCCACGCGCGCGCTCCCCCGCGAGCACGCCGTCGCGCGGATCTGTCGCGAAGCCGGTGATGCCGGTGCTCGCGTCGCTCGCCACGTCCGGCTGGCTGACATGAACACCGCAGTAGCTGTGCCACTAAATCCTACCCTTGCCACAATGGATGGAAGCTCGTCTCTCGGCACAACCGCCACACCCCCTTGATGCTCCAAGATGCTGGTAGGGTACCACAGGCACATTCCATTCGGACTCGATCAACGTGGTCTGCATCCTATAGTCTTGGCCTGCTCTGGAATCGCTTCTTTCATCTGTCTCAGAAACTGCTGATTGCGTTCTTCTACTGTACCGCTGCTACTTGCAATCTGAATCTGCTGCTTACCGCTGGCCTATGCTGCCCTTGCTCTTCCCCTTCTGGCTTCCCTTCGCCCCATTCCCATGCTCACAATGAGCTCGCCGATTCATGTCCTTCTTGGATTGGTACCACTCACACTGCATGTAACACAAGCATTGGCACGCCAAAAACGCAGCATCCGCATAAGTCGGACTCGAAAGGAGCATATCCAATGCATTGTATCCAGCTACCCAAGTAGCCGACGTGCACTGCCTCACCTCACTGGCCTGCATAGAAACCCACGGTCCGAGAACGCGCCCGGGATGCCCTAGACAGCACCACGAGGGCCGTCGAGAGCCACTGCGATCACTGCGGCATTGCCTCCAACTTCGGCAAGACCAGGGTTTTTGCGCCTGAAGGGGGGCCCCCACCGCCAGGCATCGTTGAGCTGGGAGATGCGGTGTGGCGAGGGGATAAGCCACCAGCCGGAAGGGGCCTGGTCGTGCTCGGCACTCCAGTGCGCGAGTGGGCAGCGGAACGCATGCAGGAGGAACGCACAAACTTCTTCAACCGCTGCCCGAATTGCCGGACCTCCAATGCAGCTGGCTCCTGCTCGCCATGTGCGCGTCTCCCCGCGCCAATCATGCGCTCCGCAACCTGCCTCCCTCCGAGTCGCGCGGGTACGCCGTTGCACAAGTGTTGCGCATGACGAGGCAGTCTCGGAAACGTTGCAGGCCTGCTTTGGCCGACCGCCTCGCTGCCAGCAGTGCTGGGTGGCCTTGGCCTGCAGTCCGCGGAGCGCACGGCCCCGGCTGCCTGCTGGGCGGGGTGGGCGGACGCACTACAGGTTGTGCGCGCTCGAGTGCCCGACGTCGCACGATGCTGCTTGGAGGCGCCAGAAGGCGGCGCCGGCGGTGGTGTCCGTTGTCTGCGCGAGGCGCTGGAGGCGCGGGACCTTCTGCGAGAGGCGGGTTGGCGAACCTGCCCCACGTGGCGCGCCCTCTTGGAAGGAGCGCGCCCACCTCCAGCGGATGACGCCGGGCCAGGGGACTTGGAGCATGGCTGGCAGATGCACGCGACGCGAACTCTCAACACCCACTTCCGCGATAGCGTGCTGATGCCCGACACGCCGCCCAGTTCTCAGGCGCGCTTGCGATCCCAAGCTGGACCGCAGGCGGGCGCTTGGCTCGCGGCGATCCCAACAGAGCCGGCTACAACGCTCCCACCACACGCTATGCAGATCGCCTTGAGGCGCCGCTTGCGGCAGTGTGGGCCACCTCGTATAGACCGATTTGGCGATCACGCACTCGCGTGCCCGCGCACAGGATTCCTTGCCCGGCGGGCCAAGCTCGTCGAGCGAGCCTAGGTGCGGGTTGCCCGGGGAGCGGTGGCTGGCCCACACCATTGCCCCGAATGTTGGCGCGCAGGACCGTCGCCGGCTCGACCTCGTCGCGATGCCACGCTGGGGTCTTGCGTTCGGGGCACCCCCCCCCCGACAAATGCATCTGCGCGGTGCGAGCGGGAGCCGCAAGTGGTGCAGGAAAAGGACGCGAAACAGCGCACTAGGTATGGCAATGTCGCCGCGGGTGGGCGTGATGCCGAAAACACGAGCGGCGAAGGGCCCACTTTAGGACAGCAGCAGCACAGGAGGCGGGTGTGAGGTCGCAGCATCACCCCATATCGAAGGAGCACAAGCGCAGGCGCAGTCAGACCTCTACCAGCAACGCACATCCGCCGGCTTTTCCACCACTACGCTCTCAAATTTTGCGTGTTGCGGAGCAACAGGAGGACGAGCAGCACCAAGAACAACCGGAGGATCCAGAAGATCTTCCCGCACCCAGCGTTCCAGGGCCGAACACTCACCATATCCTCCTGACGCACCACTTACTTCGACAGACACGACGGAGATTATTAATTTGCTGCATCAGTTTCACAACTCTTTGCTTGAGTCGAACGCCAAGCTTGAACGCTTGATACAACAAGCTACGACGGTGTTGACAACCCAACACGAAGCCACCACTCATCATAATTGCTTGCATTTGCAGACTCAATAAATAATGTCTGGAAGCCATGAAAAAAATCATGCAGACTTGAGCCCTTCAGAAGCCCAAGGGACCAACGAACCACCGATCAGGGACGACCAAACCACACCAATAAGACCAAGTAAATATTATACAGATACAGATCCACCGAACAGCAAAAGAAGACACTGACGACACTGACTTGGGTCGGACATCAGTTGGTGTGAGTGAACTGATGCCGTAATTGATCTTGTGCAGTTGTAAAAACACTTGCTGCGCAGTCGTGTAGTGTTTCACGCACTGACCATGCTTCATTGACGTTCAAGGACTGGACTTTCGCTGACTTGTCTCTCCTTCCCTTGCCAGTCACCTTTCATGCGTGCGTAT